GAAATGCGTGTTATTTCTTTAAATAAAAAAACCCATTAATTTTAATGTCTCACAATATTGATGAAAACGAGCAAGATGCAAATTTCCGGTGACACTAATGTTGATGATTTTAGTATTTTTAGTGATGCTTTTGAAAAAGTATTGATTCATGTCATGCATTCAATGATATTTCAAATATTACATTGCCATTTAAAGATCAAACGATTACAATAAATTGAAGGACATAAATTTAAATTTATTACTATTAATATTGAGAAATAATTACTGCTCTTGAATACTTATATTTTGTTGTATCTTTTAATATTTGTTTGTATTACTTATATATATAATTTATAATGATAAATGAGAAAAATTAAAATTCAACTGAAAAATGACATAAATGAGGTTACACGAGGGTAATAATTATTAATCAATTCGAGATTCACCAAACATTATTATTATTACTATTAAGCTCATAGAAAAACCATCTATAAGAACATCTAGAAAAAGTCACTATGTTCTGACAGGTTATTATTATTATTATTACAAACGTTTTTAATTTGTCACAATTCTATGTTAAACCAAACCTTTTATTATTCATTAATTGTTCACGTTATTTAATAGAGGCATTAATGTTTAACATGCCGCTTTTTGTTTCAATTACAATTTTAAAAACACCATTAACCAATTTAAATAAAAATATCAGGTTCAATTTACCCCATTCCTCTTCTAGGGCTATTTGCCATTCTACTGTTCTTGGAAATTGTCCTTTGTTACTATTAATTATCTCGTGTTGATCATTTCCATTTACTTCCTAATATATATATACTAATATTAAACTGTAATGGAAAAATGCCAACTTTATATCATATTTATTTATTGGAGTACAAATCAAATATATACTTTTTTGGCATAAACTTCATTTATTTGTGGATGATTGTCAAACCCAGGAATGACTTCAGAGAGAGGAGGTAATTCGTCACCATAAATATTCTTTCATTATTTATTATTATTATTATTACCAACTCTACCATTTTTCGTAAGAATCATCGAATTCTTATTATTTTTTTGTTTATTTTGCGACCACATACAATTCAATTAATTACCTCATAGTAATAGAAGGAAAGCAATTTTAAAAAGCTACCAGTATTTAGCTTTTTTAAATTCAGATGATCAATATATTGTTGCTTAATGGGGAATCAAGCAATTTTTATCAATAATAGGAACATAAACATATTGTGAAATTCCCTATTTTTGAAATATAATGATGATGATGATGATGATGATGATGATGATGATGATGATGATGATGATGATGATGATGATGATGATGATAATGAT